CACCTTTGCTATATCCTATTACAAATTAATAAGTGACATTCTGGTTTATACATCTTGTTTTTATGAGTTTGGTTAACGTGAGTTGGTCTCACAAATCTAATCCATTGACAAAACTGAGTTTCAAGCTGAGGAAAGTTGAGAACCAGACTATAGACATAGTGACCCCCTCCAACATATTGTCAGCCTGTGACTAGACAGCCAACTCCTCCCTAGAACACATTTATCTCACCACATCCCTCAAACCAACACAAACTGAATTCAGGAAACTGTTCTACAGTATCCCTGAGTCACGTTCTCTTTGGATACCCCCAATGGCCAGGACCTCATTGTCACAACACCTCAAAGCAGCCTGCTTTCCTGGAGATCTCAGTTGTTAGAATATTGTTTCTTAAACTGAAATTAAATCTGTCACTTCATAACTTCTACTTACTGGTTCTTTCCCAAAATATAACAAATGTTTTTCTGTGCCTAGGCTGCCTATTCTCAGTTCCTCCAAAAGAACTTGACCGTGATGGATTCCAGCCCTCTCACCACCCAGTTGTTTTCCTTCTAGCTTTCCAGTCTCTTGAAAACATGATCCCCCCCGCCCCAAATCTGATCGGTCCACTAGCACTATTATCTTTGAGACATAAGATATTAGTGCAGCAAAAGGTTGTTCTTTCTTTTAGCAGTTGCATCTCACTGTTGGCTCATGTGCTTCAGATAAAAATGCCTTCATCTCAATGCATTTCCCCTTCCTTTTGGATTTGAAGCTGTTGAAATGAGATACATGTCGGTAAGGCTGTGGGTTTACTATGGTGAGCTTACTTCCCCCTTTGGTGAATGCTGTTTCTGTTCAGTCTGAGGGACAGTGTCCTTAGCTCAGGACAAATATACAGAGCCATTTCAAGAATTCGGACCTAAGTAGTGAATGAGTTTTTCTTAGAAAGAAAAAAAAAAATCCACCTTTCTTGAGGAAATGAGCCATCATTAGAGAGCTGGGAAGGATTTTTACTTTTTTATTCTCTAGCTCCTGGTGGGTAAAAGGCACTCGCCTGGGCTTAATGAATCTAGCCAACCTGCTACCAATTTCAACTGGGGACAGGGGGAGGGAACAGAAAAGCTATTTTACTGAGACTTTTTTCCTTTCTGATTCTAGAATATAAATATTGTATATATAGTAAAACAGTGTAACCAGACCTAGGATGTAGTGACTTGGTTCCTCTCAGAACCCCTGAGACAACCTGGGACGAATTTTCTGTCATCCGGAATATCCTCCTTTCCACAAGCCCAAACTGTCTTAAGCTCTAATTTGCCTATTGGTTGTTGACTGAATCTAGACAAATCTCCCCGTGTCACTCACACCCCGCGCCCTGTCCCTCAGCCCGCAACAGGCTTCTTCTCTCCACTGGCCACCCCACCCTCTCCTCCACGCAACCCCGGCCCGCAAACCCATACGGGTTTCAAGTGTAGGTTTTGATGCTCTCATTGCCCACAGATCGCAGGACAGACGTTCCCAGGGACAACTTTGAGAGGCCACGTGCTCGTCCCCCTAAGGAGGTGGGAGAAATCCCTGCAGCTCGGTTTTGTTCCAATGGTCTGTTCAGTGAGTGATTCCCGTTTCCCCAAAGGCTGCCCCTCATTAGCATGAACGGGGGTGGGGGGGGGTGGAGAAGGGGTGGGGGGAGAGAAAGAGCAAAAGCCCAGGCTCAGTTTTAGAGCCTGGGAACCGTGTCTACAAACATGACAGCTAGAGCTTTCTGGCTCCTCTGTTTGATCGTTGGATCATCTCCCGAAGCCCCAGTGGCGGAGAGAAAAGGTAAGATCGATGAAACGCTGAGCCCTGGGAGAGGGGCTGGGATCCGGGGGCGAGCTGGGGAGAGGGCGCGATGAAGGGCGGGACGAGAAAGGGGTCAGGGCTTGCCAGAGAGGAGATTCCAGGTCCATGTTCGTGTTCGAAAGGAGCAAAATGTGTCCCCAAGATTGTGTGTGTCTTGGCAGCCTTTATCGGAATGAAGCCAGTTGTTCAGCTACTGAAATGATCTCGAGCGAGCCGGGCAGGCTGGAGAAACTTTGCATGTTAAGTAGTTGCTCCATCACAGAGGAGGGAAAGTGTCAAAAGGGGTCGTGGCGCGCCTTTCGGGAGCCGTGCGGGCCGGGCTCGCGGGACGCGGCGGGCGGCGGGCGCCCGGAGGAGCGCGGAGGAGCTGGGTGCGCCCCACAGGGGCTGGGAGCGGAGGGAGCCGAAATCGGACCTTTCTCCCCTTTCCCTGCGGCCGCAACCAATGGCCTTGGGACACCTGAGTCTTTAAAACACACACACACACACACACACACACACACACACACACACACACACAATTTCACGCCTGAGATGAAAATTACTGAGGGAATGAAGAAATAAGAGATTCTCTGCGGGGAGGTGTTTTTGTCTGGCTTTTATTTGGATGTTCTGTTTGATTCACTATCTCTGGGAAAAATACCTTCCGCACCTTACAGGGTAATTTACTTTGGGTTATTTTTCCACATGGAAATTGAATGACTTCAGTGGCATTTAACCCAAATATCAGACAATCTTTCCCATGACAACAGATGGTGATATCAATGGGGAAGCTGTTGTGAGGTCAACAGTTGACAGTCAGGAATTGGATATCCACCAGAACTTTATTCAGCTGTGTATGGGCAACCTTGAACATAATGAGCCAGAATCAACCTCTCTGCAAAAACATGAACTATAACCAGCTATTATTGCTGGGTGAAAGCTGATTTTAAAGGAGACTGTCAATTTGGCAAGATAAATCACTTTAAATGAAGTTTTGCAAGAACTGCAAATGGGCAGACCAAGCTCTTCGATGTCAGAGAGAAATGCTGAAAACCAGCCGTTAAAATAATAGAAAAAAAAAAAAAAAAAAAGATGGGCTCTTGTGCCCGTCTGGAGGGCACTGGGACCCAGGCAAACGGGGAGGTGATATTGTGTAACTGGGCATGGAAATTGGCCCAGCTTCTAAGCTTGCTGAAGTTTGCTCACCAACCTGCCTGCAGAGCTGGGGAAAATCACTAATAATTTCAAAAATTTGTTTTCATGCCGTTTGCCATTTAGGAGCTTTCCCTCCACCATGGGAAGGGGTGGGGGTCGGGCAGTGTAAGCGATGCGGGTGCTTTTACACTTAACCAGGGGCCTCTGCGCCCAGCCACGCTTTAAACCTCCTTCTAAGCTGTGGTTTACTACTAAGTGGTGTCCAAGAAGCCAGATAAAAATCCACTCACAGATGCTCGACTCTGCACAGACCAAGATGACAGTGTAAACACGGATGGGAAAACCAAATAGTTCTGTTGTCAGGGGCGCTTAAACAATTAGGAGAAGCTGTAACATGAGACCTTTCCCCCTGGGGTTTGCTCTTGGTACTTTCTCAACAAACTGTACATAGCGAAAAGGCGGATGTTTACATATATATTAAAGAAAGGGCAAAAGAGTTTGTTATTTAACCAAAGTTGTCAGTTATCTTTAGTCCTAGAACAAATAGGTGGTTGTAATTTGAAAAGCTATTGATTTGCAAAGCTTCCTTAACAAAATGAAATGTTCCCATGTGGTGAGAAAAATGTTCTTAGTTGCCCTCATTCTTAGAGGGCAAGACCCTCATCTCCGTCTTCTTGGGGCCTAGGAAACCTGTGCTCACCACAAGCCGGGGCGCCTTCCACTTCCCCCTCCCGTTCTCTTTCCTTCACTTCCATGTCTGCTGCCCTCTCCACGTCGCCTCTCGCAGGTGTACGCTACGTTTACATCGTCCCCCATCTCCTCTCCCCTCCCAGAGCCATTTCCTCTTCCCCCCTGTCGGCCTCTCTTCCCCTCCACAGCCTCATCTCTACCCGCCTTCCCTCCTCTCTCAGCCTCCCTGGCCTCCCTCCCCTCTCTTCTCTGCCTCTCCCCTTCCCCCCACCCCCGTCCCCTTCCCTTTGGTTGTTTGGCCTGAGGCAGCCCAACACTGGAGCCTACCTGCGCTCTTTGGTGGGGCTATTGGCGGACTCTGGGAGGGCTCACGCCAGGGAGTACTTTCCAGAACTTCTGCTGCCAGTGTTCTTGTCCTCGCAGTGAGACACAGCCAACCCCGCCTCTGCAGGAGACCCTCCAACACTAGCAGGTAGGTCTAGTTCAGTCTCCCCTGGGGTCATTGCTCGTTCCCCTGGGTCCTGATGCTCACACTACTTTGTGTGTGCCCTCCACGAGTGGAGTCTCTGTTTCCCCCAGTCCTGTCAAAGTACTGCTGTCAAATCCCACTAGCCTTCAAAGTCTGATTCTCTAGGAATTCCTCCTCCCATTGCCAGACCCCCAGGTTGGGAAGCCTGATGTGGGGCTCAGTACATTCACTCCAGTGGGTGGACTCTTGTGGTATAAGTGTTCTCCAGTTTGTGAGTCACCCACCCAGCACATATGGGATTTGATTTTACTGTGATTGTGCCCCTCCTACCATCTCGCTGTCGCACGCGCGCCGCCCAGCCCCCCGCCGGCCCCGCCCATCCCAACCGGCCGCGCGCCGCCGCGCCGCCCCCGGAACCCGCGCCCGCGCCGCCGCCGCGCCTCAGCCCCCAGCGGAGGGAGGATGCGGAGCTCGGCGCCGAGCCCTGCGCGCGCGCCTGCAGGGCGGACTTGGACGAGCGCGAGTCCTACTGCGCCAGCGAGTTCGGTGAGCCCCGCCCGCAGCTCCTCCCGGGCCCGGGCGGCCGAGCCCGGGCCGCGGGGCGAGCCTTTCCGAGCCGAGAGCGCCGGGCTGTGCATCGGGACCCCTAAACCAAACCCTAGAGAAACCCACCCACTCGGTCCTGCAGGCCCCAGAGCCGTGTGGACTATTTCGTGATTTGTTAGAAACGCACTGGGGAGAGAAAGAGGATGTGAGCGCTGTGCATTTCTCCAAACTCTTTGTTTTTTGAAAGCAGCAGTCAACGGAATCGTGCATGATGTGGACGTCCTCGGTACGGGGATCCGGCTGGTGACTCTGCTGGTGGACCGGGACGGGCTGTACAAGATGAACCGCCTGTACATCACTCCGGACGGGTTTTTCTTCCGAGTCCACATATTAGCCCTAGACTCCTCTAGTTGCAATAAGCCATGCCCAGAATTTAAACCTGGTATTAAAACTGATCTAAGTGATCATTTTATATATGTTCTTTATGTCACCGTTGTAACTTTGACATGCCACAGCCCGGTCTCTATCGGTTACCCCAGTACCTGTTTTTTTTGGGGGGGGGGATATTCTAAAATGAATAGAATTTAGAAGACAGGTATTATTTCGTCCACTCTGTGATTTAAATTCCATCAGCGCCTCCGGTTAAAGATGGGAACTGAGCGGATTGGCACAAAGCAAACACTCAATATTTGTTGACAAGTGGAGTGAATGACGAAACACCGTTGCCAGACAGGATGCCTAAGGGGCTTTTTAAACTGAGTTTAGAGACGTCTTTTGCTGGGCGTGTGTGTTTGGGGGGGGCGGGTAATGCCCACTCCCACGTCTTTCTAGAGATGTGCTCTGTAAAATCCTGCTGGCACTGTTGTGATTAATTAGGACCTTTGTTTCTAGTGCTGGCTGTTTACAGGCTGAGTAATCTGATTATCTTATAAAGGTCACTAGGCTATTTCCACCTGCTGTCTGAGGTTTAAATGTCTTGAGATTCAACATGTGCAGCAAGATAAGAGATTCAAGCTTAGGCATTTCTTAAAAGCCTTACATTTTCTTATTGTTACGTGGTATTTGAAAGATAACTATGAATTTATATTTTGGCTTTTTTTTTTTTTTTTTCAGGCAGCAGGTATATTGTGATGGGCCACATCTACCATAAGAGAAGGCAGCTACCTACAGCTCTGCTTCAGGTCCTGAGAGGGCGCCTCCGACCAGGAGATGGACTTCTCAGGAGCAGCAGCAGCTATGTGAAAAGATTTAACCGGAAAAGGGATGGGCAAGTGCAAGGGGCAATTCACACCCAGTGCATTTGAAACATACCAGCCTGGCATTTCTGGATCATAAGAGACTTGGAATTCAGCAGCAAGACAGGAAAGACCTGTCATTAAGTAATCGGATTTTCCTTTAGAACAGGGCACACAGCTCCTTTAGGAACTAGGTGCCAAGTGCCAACTCTCATCTTCAAGTTGTCACTTTTTTACAAAATGCTTCTTAAATGGTTATGCTTCTGAGCTCTGTGGTGAAGTTATTCAACTGGTGTGCCAGTTACTCACACAAGCTCGGATAACTGACCTGTCCAGATAACAGATCACTGCTTCATGTTGATTATTTTTAATTATTTTAATTTAAATACATTCTTCAGTAGAAATAGTTCACAAAAACATTTCCTTGATTTTAAATATACAATTTTGAATAGTTTATATCATGTATCAAACCAAATTTTATACTAAAACCATCACATTTTAAATTCTGTACATAACAGTAAGTGCACTAGTCAGACGTATGAAATGTCATTGAGATCACATTTAGATCAAACACTAAAGTCAGAGCCCGAGACAAGTATTAAAGTTTTACATTTAGAGTACTGAAGGGCTTATTCAAGCAAACAAATGTTTGTTCAAACGAGTGTTCCTGATGTACCAAAATATAAGATACAGTTTATTTTCATGCCTCCCTGCTTCTAAAATCCTGTGTTTTGTGCCATACTGGCAGCTATCCCAATACCAAACATATTCTGGGTGTATCTGATGTCATTTTTCTATTAAGACCAAGTATCATGTTTGTGTTTGTAAAGCAGTAAATCTTTCTGTGAAATCAGATCTTGGATGCACCTGGTTTTTTCAGCCTCAATGAGCCCCAAAAGGTTTGGGAAAAAGCATTTCTCAAACTTACTCCAAAAACCCTGGAGCCAATATTTAATGACGGCTTGCAAGCATGTGAATTTTAAACGTTTTCCAGTTGGCTTGAAAAAGATTTAATCACAAACTGAATTTATTATTGATTTTATACCTCAGCCCACAAAGACATTAACAATTTTTTTTTCAGAAGACCAAGCTGTGCTTTAATTTGAAACGCTGTGAATAGAGACACTGATAATCCATGGTTGAAGATTACTGCGCAGAACTCCACTGAAGAGACAAAAACAGTCCATTTGGTCTCAGATGAGATTCACTCTGGAGCTCAGGATGTGTCATTAGTCTGTAATGGCAGAGTCTTTAAAGGCCTCACAGAAGCCCTATATACACACAGGATGTCAGGACAGCACAGAGAGACTGTAAGACATAACAACTGATTGTGACGGGAGATACTGTTACCTTATTTGTCCCAAACAGGGGGCAAAGAGGTAAAATAAAAGTTGAGGGGTTCTGACTATGCCATGGTAAAGCATTAACTGAGGGATTTTTTAGAGTATTTGCCAAGAATGAGTTGTGCCCAAGCTTATTAAAAATTATCTTAGAATTGCTTCTTGGGAATCCACTGAATTATTACACAAACCACTGGCAGGAGATTAGAGTATGCAGTGAATGAAGAGCTTCTGGGTTAGTTTCCTTTAGGATAAAAATTAACGAAGACAGAAGTAGCACTGGTCACAAAAACCAAAGCCGATTTTTTAAATGTCAAATGGCTAAGTGGTGATCCTGCGTAACATGGTGGGGAAAATTACAAAACGGCTAAATAGATAAATTATTAGTTGGATGGTCAGATGTTAGAGCATAAAGAGAAGTGTTATAAATAGCTCTGGTTTAAAAGATAGAAAAAAAATCACTTTGATATAAGCCTAAGGGTTAGGGTTTGATTAGATTGATTTGATAATACTCAGTTTCTGAGATGTTTTGGAATCACACAAAAAGTGCCAAAACTGTGATCTGTGTGATACTTGGAGGTCACACGGTTAGTATGTACACTTTGGCAAACGCAAGCAGGCCAGTTTCTTAGAAACGTTGTTAAACTTAAGGCCATCATTCAAGACCAGGTTTGCAATGAAAGATGAGCGAGGCTCGGGGACTTCCCTGGCGGTCCAGTGGTTAAGACTCCGTGAACTCCCACTGCAGGGGGTTCGGGTTCAATCCCCGGTCGGGGAACTAAGATCCTGCATATGCCAAGAGGCACCGCCAAAAAAAAAAAAAAAAAAAAGGCAGGGGGTTCGGGTTCAATCCCCGGTCGGGGAACTAAGATCCTGCATATGCCAAGAGGCACCGCCAAAAAAAAAAAAAAAAGATAGTGATTGAGGCTCAAATGAGGTAGAACAGTGGTGCATATGGGGATATATGCACGGGAGGCGGTGCACAACAGACTGGGAATTCCAGGTTAGGCAAAAAAGTTTAAGGAGAATCTTCTCAATATTCAGTCAGTACCTTCAGTACAATCTTTTAATTTTATGGAAAATTTTAATTCCCAAATTCACTGTAGTTCCGAATCCTTTTCTCCTGTTGATAGACTTTCCTTAGCACATGGTTTGCCTTCCAAAGACTAAAGGATCACGGGCACAATAAAATACCCTGTTGCCTTCAAGAGCTCAACACATCCCTCCTTCCATTAAGCTGTTGGAACTCAAGCGGAAAAAAAGTGTTTTTCTTTTGGTAGGGAAA